AGTAGTTAGTAGAAGTAGTAGTAGTAGTAGTAGTAGTAGTAATAGTAGTAGTAGTAGTAGTAGTGGTAGTAGTGGTAGTAATAGTAGAAGTAGTAGTAGTAGTAGTAGTAGTAGTAGCAGTAGAAGTAGTGGCAGTGGGTGGCAGTAGCAGTAGCAGTAGCAGTAGCAGTAGCAGTAGCAGTAGCAGTAGTAGTAGAAGTAGTAGTAGTTGTAGCAGTAGTAGAAGTAGACGTAGAAGTTGTAGAAGTAGAAGTAGTAGTAGTCGTAGTGGTAGTGCTAGTGGCAGTGGTTTTGGGAGTGGCAGTGGTAGTGGTGGGTAGTTGTGGTGGTAATAGTAAGTAATATTAGTAGTAGTAGTAGTAGTAGTAGTAGTAGTGGTGGCGATTGGAAGGCAATCCAATTGACCCCACGTTCATGGCCATTGCCTTCAAAGATAAGGCGTACCGTCTTCTTTCTCTGCACCGGCCGACTTTTTTTCGGGCGACGACACTACCACCGTGTTAGTGGTGATGGTAGTGGTAGTACTAGTAGTAGTGCTAGTGGCAGTGGCAGTGGCAGTGGCAACGGCAGTGGTAGTGATGGTAGTAGTAGTAGTAGTAGTAGTAGTAGTAGTAGCAGCAGCAGCAGCAGTAGCAGCAGTAGCAGCAGTAGCAGTACCAGTAGTAGCAGTAGCGGTAGCCGTAGAAGTAGCAGTAGCAGGAGCAGTAGCCGGAGCAGCAGGAGCAGCAGTAGTAGCAGCAGGCGGAGCAGCAGCAGCAGTAGCAGTAGTAGCAGTAGTAGGAGTAGGAGCAGTAGCAGCGTAGAAGCAGTAGAAGCAGTAGGAGCATCAGGATCTATTGGAGCAGCAGGAGTTGTAGCACTAGCAATAGATGATGTTTATTGCTAGGAGCAGCCGCAGCAGTTGTAGCACCAGCGGTGAGGGACAAGAAGACGAATGTGAGGAGGTCCGTTTCAGAAAGATGCTCGGTTTTGTTTTTACACCTCTCGAATGATTTGTGGTGCTGAAGTCTACGGTGCAGGCAGGAAAAGCTAAGGCTAAGGTGTAACTAACGTGTCGAGTCCTCGCCTGAGTTCTTATGTCCGGAATCCTGCACTCGAGGCCTAAACCCTCGGCGGCTTCTGCAGTTGTAAGCTGAGTCGTCGTCACAGGAAGAGGAGAGCGAGAAGGAGCTCTACATGCCGCGAGAACCTTTTCACAGGGTTGGAAGGAGATTCACTTCAGGTCGAGTAGGGGTAGGGGTTTATGTGGTCTTGGGGGTGCAGCTGCAGCCGTTCTAGGCACGGAATAAGAATTTAAGTTTTGGGCTTGTAGGCTTAGAAGCATCATACCGGTACGGTCAGTCGTGCACTTCGTGAAGTCCGCCCATGCCATGGAGCGTAACTTCGTGACGAATGTTCAACATGGTTCCCTGCGAAAGTGCCCGAAGCTAGGGTTCTGGATATGCAAGTGTTGAGGAGGTCCAGCTTGGGTCTGCTGTCCTATCGTCATAGTTCGGTTGTTGTTTACCTTCCCTGTCGCCTGGGAGTGCGAGGAAGAACGACATTGGCATCTTTGTGTTTTCTTTGGCCCTGGGCCTGCCTCACAGGAAAGCAAACACTAAAGTCGCTTCAATTTCATGGACCTTCGCCACTGTTGGACGCCTCACTTGTGCTGTGTAAGGCGCCTGAATTTCTTAGGCCGGGCACAAGCGGGCATGTCCGCAGCTGAAGACCTACGGCTATAAGGCCCTAAACCTTCGTAACCTTGAAATGCTGAAGCCCAGTCCTCCCAACCCGAATCTTTGCCTCGAGTGCTAACCTGAGCTTCAGGGAGGAGGATCCTCATAGTCATAAACCAGATCAGGAAGTCAAATCCGACAGGCCCACAGGCCCAAGCCAACTCAGAGTCCAAGGACTACAAGCCGCCCACCAAATCGACTGTACGCTTTGGCCGAATGGGGGCGAACTGGGGCTCTCAGGCAGCAGTATGCAGCCATGAGGCCTACACAGGGTCGGGTCGGCAGCGTTTCGGTTCGGGATTTCGGGACAGTGGCACCTTGGAGTTCATGCCTTTTGGGTTTGGCGAGCTGGGCTGCAGGTGTGGGTGTGGGTTTAAGCTATAGGGCTGGTGCATGCCAGTAAGCAAACCTTGGACACCTTTCATGCACTGGAGCCCAAGAGCTGATTCTAGACTCTGAGAATCCGAAGCCCTACTCTATCAAGCGTGCGGGCTGCACGATCTTTTCGTGGCTCAAGTTCAGTAGGGTATGGATTTAGAGTGAAGGTTTCCTGCGATTGTGAGGCCCAAATACTGCTGGTAACACAACACAGACTGGAGCCCGCCCTGAATCCTTGAACAATTTAAGCCCTGTTGCCGCAATCTCAAAGCTGAAGGTCAGTACCGGGCCAAGATCATCGTGGAATCACGAGTTGGCAAGGAACCCCAAGCTCGAACTCCCCTAACCCAAGTCTTGCGCGCCCGTGAGTCAGAGATGGGGTTTGACGATGGGTGTAGATTCTATATAGAGCAGACGAGAACATGAGAGATGAAGGGAAGAGGTGAGCTGTGAGCCATGACTGCTATTCAGCTGTTCATGGAGTTGCCCCGCACCCTCAATGTGAAGCCCTCGACATCCCAAAGCACCGAGAGGCCGACACAGCAGAATTCTTCGGTCAAAGGGTGCGCATGACACGTTTCTACACTGTTCTACACTGCACTGCACGAGGGAGAAGAGCAGAAGTTCTGAAGGGTGCTAGGTGATGCAATCCCCTTTCCCTATGCTCGAAAATACAGATGCATGTACGTATTTAGGGAGGATTTGTTTGGCCCTGGCAGACAGGTCGCTAGATCGGTCGGCCGATGCACATATGTGGGTGTACATGTGTCCGCACGATATATATATATATATATATATAGATACAAAAATACATACATATATATATATATATATACATACATACATATACACACATATATACTCACATTTGCCTACAGCTGTACATCAGCAGGAAGTCATCCGAAGACAGTTCGATGGCATCCGCGCGCACCGACGGGAGGCCTCATCGTGCCAGTAGGAGTTGAGGGCTTCAGGGTTTGTAGAGCAAGGTCCCGAGAATCTAAGCAGTAGTGTACCGACCTAGAAAACGATAGGATCCCCACTGAGCCTCAAACCGTCGAGCGTTGAAGTTCGGAGGTTAGTATTTAGAAGGTGTCTCAGGGCGTAAATCTCAACTCATGCAAGGGCCTCCAGCGCAAGCTTCGAAGTCTCAAATTTTCCTAGACTTTGCGTGAGTAGTGTTCTTTTTACCTCCGCTGGGTTGCGAATGCGGCACATCATAATGGTTTATTCGCTTCTGCTCTGCGACTTCTATTGCGTAAATGCATGCATTTCAGTGAAGCAGTCTTCAATTGCCAAAGCCTGAGCCCGTAACCTTGAATATTCGCCCTCCCCCCAGCCCCGAAACCCTCATAACCAGGCCCTTGGCCGTATAACTCTAGAAGCTTGTAAGCCCGAGGTGCCACCTGGCATGGCCCAAAAGTTGGCCAAGGCTCGTGGGTTTTAGTCGATCCAGGTTGTGTGTTTAGGCTTTCAAATTGTAGGAGTAGGCTTCAGGAATCTTGAGTTTTGGTGTTTAGGGAGCCTGAATCTACAGTTGCCAACCCCGCAAAGCTGCACCACCCGCTCTTAATGGCTGCAGCTTTACACAGGGGTTGTATAGTGGTAGTTTTTGTCGGAGCATGTAGTTGAGGGGTTCAGCGTTGGTAATGTGGAGCTGAGTTGAATACTCGGCCCTTCGATTGTAAGGCCTCAAGCAGCAAGCCCGAATCCCAACCATGCAAGGAGAGCCCCTCCCATCTCCATAACTCGGGGACCTTCCTTCGTTTGGATACCCCTGGGACGAGGCTCAAACCAAGCCAGGTCTCAACGCCCGGAACCTTAAAGCTTCCCTCGCAAATTCGAAGTCCAGGAGTTTTTAAGATTTCGAATCGAAGAAAACTGTACGTGCTGCACGCGCTGGCAAGCGGGTCTTCAGCACTAAGATGAGAGTTCAGGTTTCGGGTTCAGGATGGGGGGGCTCAGCAGACGATTACGAAAGCCCTGCTGGCCAAGCATCCGCTGTTGAAGAGGTGTCCGGCGTTCACACCATCGAGCCGCCTGTCTGTCAGACTTGCAAGCTGGAGATAAAGCAAAGTCTCGGTGTCCACGGCAGCGTGCTCGGCACTTTGAACTTGGGCTATCGGCTATCGTGTAGTTCGCATCATCGAGGCTACGGCGCAGGTGCCATTTTCTGCAAGAGCCCGAACCAATTTCATGGCTTCCTCCCTGCGCGTCTTTACAAATGCCAAGGCCTCCAACATCACCACAGTGCAAATGAGAGCACACTGACTGTCGTGCAAGCGTCCAGCAAGTAGTTATCGCTGCTAAGTGTGCGGGCATTGGATTTCGCTTTTGCGTCGGCTTTCGGTCGAAGGCATTGTGACAGACCAAGCAAACTCTGTACTTTGTTGAGCGTGTCTCTTGGTTGTTCAGACTTTACATGTTTTTGTTCAAAGCCTGACCGTTGGCTTTCATGCCAACGCCTGTGCGATCAGTATGCCTTCTAGCTGGAAGGCCTAGGGGCCTAGGGCCTAAGTCGACAATGCCTCAGCCAAAACTGCAAACCTCGGGCTGCAGTCCTTGGAATGAGGATCATCCAGTGCAAACTGCAAGAGGACCGGGGTGCGGGGTTTTGAAGAGATGCTGCGCAAAGAGGCTCGGACCATTGCTTTGGCGTCGTACATGTTGTTCGTTGTTTCTTGAGTTTTTGCTCAGGTCTCTACTCGTTTTGGACGAGTGCTTGGAGTGCAGCTTAGACTTTGATGATCCTGTTGAGAACTGGTTCGGGATTGTGCTGAGCATCGGCATCCAGTGTTAGAAGATGCTGCATGCTCGTTTTCGTCCAGAATCCTGAGCGCATGTCGAATGTTGGCTTCTAGGATGAGGGCCTTTAGCCACCTGCGCAACCCCAATCTGTAGCTGTCAATGTCTTCCTCAATCTTGCTACCAGTGCTTACTTTGTAGTCCTTAGTAAGATTTAGTAAGCTGATGAACATATTGGATTTGCATTGATTTCTCGGCCAATGTGTTATAGCTCGTATCAAGGGGCTTGCTACGTCTCAAAGTCCTGGTACCCTTTGCAAATTATCCCTTTACTTGCATTCTCTAGTCCCCTTCACACTCCCCTTCTCAAATGTTCGGGGGCCCTTTCGAACAGTCCGCTTCTCTTTCTCCAGCTCTACACTGCCTGTTGAGTACTTGGCTGCCAGGGTCCCATCTTTCTCAACCTGTCTGGTCTCTTTCGAACAGCTTGCTACCAGCCGCTTGCTGACCTGACTTAGTTTCTTCAGTCGCTTTCCTGCGGTTTGTTCTCCGTATTTTTCCGTCCTTTAATTGCTGTACTTCTCTACTTCTTAACCTTTTCAAATTTTCTATATACTCACTTTCGATATTTTGCTATCTGCCTAAACTTCTCTCGTCGCCGTTGGTTGCCTTTCTAAGTTCTCGAGTCCCGTGTCGAACGAAATGGTCCCATCTTTTTCAGATCCCTGCTCTTTTCTGTTTAATGGTTTGTGCCCCTGTCTTGACTTCTCTAAATAAGTCGAGCGGCTCGCTACCTTTCTCAAGTTTTCTAGATCCTTTGAACTGATTGGCTTCCTTCCTCTCAGTTTTGAGGTCTCTTTTGAACGGTTTGCTCCCCGCTTTCTCTAATTTCCAAGTTTTCGAGTGTTTGTTGAAGTCCTTTCTGACATTGGACAGTGCTTTTCGAGCAGTTTGCGCCTGCAAACTTTTCTTGGGCCTTGTCCTTGTCAGCGACCCTTCTGTTCAGTTCTAGCCCCGAGGCCTACAGGAGCATGCTTCGGTCCCTTGTGCCAAAGCCTCCTGAATTCTTGTGCTTGTCAAGCTTGTGTTTTATTGCCAGTGCCATGGGTCTCCAAAAACCCTGTTTGCTTCGGCTTGGGTCATGCGTGATGGCTGTTCTCACGGGCGGCGCCCGGTGTTGCCACATGGGTTTTGGTCAACCACAAAACCCTGAAACCCGACGGGACCGAACAGACAATGCAGTCTAATGTCCGCATGGGTTTTTGTTGTCATCCCTAAACCCTACATAGGCTGACGTCGTCTTTGCCCGCTTATTTTGGTCCGAGTGTTGCGGTCCTTGTAGCACACACAGGACCCGTTGTACACAAAACCGTAGAACACCGCATTCTTTAACACCTAATCCCCTAGCCAAGCGAAGAGCCGCCCACCCAGAGCCTTCAGTGTACAGAAGCCATGCAATCACCCCAGACAGGCTCTAAACCTATGTAGCCCCAAATCCAACACCCTAAGTGCTTAAGCCTTAAACCTCTACGAACTGACCGAGTAGGAGCCACCTCTCCACGAGCTCCACGGTGTGGTGGTGCTGCGCTTGTGGCCCGACTATTTCACGCTTATATAGGATGTCTAAAAACGGGGGTTTGCACTTTATCACGGGGTTTCGACTTTAATTCGATGGTATTCTGACATGTTGACTCTGGCCTCCTGTTTGCGGTGGCGTAGGGCCTAGGGTTTCAGTGTGTGGTGCTGAGGATTCGGCTTTTGGAACCATGAGCCCTACCTAGAGCTTGGGGTTGAGGCCTGAACGCTACGCAGTGGTTCTTTATGTGCCTTCTCCAACCTCTTTCTTTCCTACGATATAGCCAGCATGACAAACCCCAAAGAAACTGCAGACACAACTCCAGAAGCGCTATAGAAGCCCCGCCCTTGCGTTCTAATGTTTCAGGTTCTTATGAAGCTACAACCCGATTGTGCCCTCCTAGAAGCCCCGTAATTTGAACAGAAGCCCTGCTGTAAAGCCCCCCCCTCCCTCGCCCCTGGTGCCCGTCGCACTCCATCGGTCCTTCGACTTTCATACAGGTGTGAGGGCAGCTCATGTTTCGTTTTCTGGCTTGTCGAGTAACTCTCGCATTGATGTTAGGGGTGTCGGTGGATGGGTTCAGGTGGGGAGGTCACCTCAGAGTCCTTTTGGATTTCTGGTTGAGGGGCTTTGCAGTGTCGGGAGTCGCGTCAGCTGTCCATAGATCGCAAATGATTTTCGGGGTTTAGGGTGGTTTAGGGTTTGAACTAAGTTCTCATTCTTCCGCCTCATAAGGGATGGTCGCTCATGTACTGTAATGGAGAGATTTCCCAAACCGCTGATGGAATGACGAAAGCACACAAAAATCAAATTACTTAAACATGATTCTCCGAAGGCCCTGCAAGCTACCGGCTCAGGTTTGGGGCTTGAGAGCGAGCGTCACCAAGATCCTAGCCCTCCGGGCCGAGAGTCAAGTAACTGCCGCTTAAACCGCCAGCTCCTCCACATCCTTACGCGTCATGCTAGCAAGGCCCCGAGCAGTCCCAAGTGCCAACACACCCCAATATTCAGCAACATACACACATACATCCTCTCCCGAGACCAGTCCCAATCACTGTAAAAGAATCAGGCCCTGAGGCTTCAATCCTGTCAGAAGAAAGCCAACATCCATCGAAAAGTCCCAAGCCCCAAACTTTGAGCGGTGTAGCTGTGTCAAGAGTCTTGGCCTCTCATAAGTTTCCGAAGCTCCACAAGCACGGGGAGGTCAAAGAACGAGCTTACTTGCCTCAGCAGGGGGGAGCAGCTCGACACATAGGGTTTTTGAGGTCTCGCACGGTTGCTGTTGGGGCCTGAGAGTTTATGCTGTGAGATACATCGTCCGGAGTGCAGAATCTGGAGGGTTTTGGGACTGAGGGGTTCGAGCTTTGCTCTGGCACATCCGGGTGTTTGGCTTAGGGCAGTCTGTTGTAGTTGAGTATGGTATCGAAGCTGTAACTAGTATAGAGTAGATAGAGTAGCACTCTTCGTCTCTAAAATATTTCCGAAGTATCACGTGTAGCACAAAGCCTCCCCAAACCCCTCGACCTGAGACTGAGACCCTCAGCCCTAAACTCCCTAAAGCCCAATGACCCGTTGCTCCCAAAACCCTGCTCAGGAGACCTCTCCAGAACGATCAGCCCCAGAAGCAGCACTCTGCCTTCATTGTTAAAGGGCTCCGGGCGTGGGGTCCAGGGTGATACCGTCAATCCTACCAGTGCATCTATCTAGCAGAGCATGCCAAACGACTCCAAGGATTCTGGAGTTCAGGTTTCTGATTTTGTCGGGCATCGGTTGCTTCAGGGATTATGGACTCTTGGACCTTGGTGAAATGGTTCCACAAGTTTGGCACCGGTACGTTCCCTTCCGTAGTCCCATTTCGGAGTCATCCGTGTTTAGCATGTTAACGAACTTTAAGAAGGAAATACTTGTTCCTTCCCCAATCGAACAACCTACGTCTACGTCGTGCTCGGCATGGGTTTCTTCAGGGTCTCGAACAAGAACCTTAGCCGAATGCTCGAGTTGAAGCAACCCCTATGCAAGAATGTTTGATCTGTAAAAGCAGGTTGCTGGATTCCGCAAGGAGTTCTGCTAGGACGGTTACAGCTGAATTGAGGGATGAAAGACCCTAGCGCCGCAAGCCTAACACTTGCCTAAACTCCAATCCGACAGCCCTAAAGCCGCCTAGAGCCTAATCCAACCAACCCGAACGGAGGTACAGGCTGGAGATCCTCGCGTGCGATCGAAATCGGTTGCAGATGGTGGAACCAGGCCCCCATGCTGCAAAGAGCAGCGGTCTTGACTTGAGGGTTCAGCCTTGAGCACGTACTCTCTGAGGAAGGCGTGCAATCTACTAGGGTTAGGGTGCAGGAAGTCCGCTGAACGCTCAGAGTTTAGAGCCGAGGCTTTGAATGTATGGTCTCCACAAGGGCGAAAACGATGTAGAGCAATTTGGCAGCCTATAGGTAGGCGTATGAAACTTCAAGTCTCCTCTATCAGCATGGTGGAACATCAGAACCGAGTCTTAAAGTCAATCGTCAGTTCTGAACCTTAAACTCGCATCCCCAAGCCCCCAAGTCCTGTACACAGACCTGCAACCTTAAACTTCACACCCGAATCCGTAGCTAGGTTTTGAACTTGACTCTGTCAGCTGCAGACTGGGATACTCGGGGGTAGTGGTGGTGGAAGTAGCAGTAGTGCTGAGCAGTGCTGGTGGTAGTAGTACTAGTAGTAGCAGCAGCCAGTAGTAGTCGTAGTAGTAGTAGTAGTAGTAGTAGTAGTAGTAGTAGGAGAAGGAGTAGGAGTAGGAGTAGTAGTAGTAGTAGTAGTAGTAGTAGTAGTAGCAGTAGTTGTAGGAAGAGGAGGAGGAGGAGTAGTAGGAGGAGGAGTGGTGCACGCAGTAGTCGTCGCGGTGGTGGTAGCAGCAGCAGCGGCAGCAAGTGGTGTTGTTGCTGCTGTTGTTGATGATGATGATGTTGTTGGAGCCGGGGCAGCTAAGAAGCAGGGCAAAAGGAAAAGGGAAGCCAACAACAGCCAAATCTTTTGACCCCTTTGTGTTTGCAAGAGCTGCTTGCACATTCAGAGCATGGTGTTTCCTCTCACGGTTCATGTGCAGCTTCAAAGGCCAAAACCCAAGCCCAAACCTCAAACCCTAAACAATCAAATCCTGAAGCCTACGTCCTCGGACTCGGGTGTCGGGAGGAAGGCTGATGATGCCGGATATGCAAAGCTGGTAGTTATGGCCTCAGATCGACTGGATCGTAAGCACGAGAACTTGAAACCCACGACGTCGAAACCTGAAAGGGCCCCAGTCCACGAAGAAAGCACACGACGCCAACTGTTTTTGCAACAGTTGCTGGCTTGGTGTGACTTCGGTCACCAAAGATTGCTCCAGGAAAATATTACGGGTAACATGATGGTGAACCAAGATGTGGCGTTACGTTCTTGAGTCGCTCTTGTTGTCGGTGACACGTTGGCTTTCTCGTTCCGCAGGTGCCCTCTCCGGGCCTTTCGTGATGTGCCTGCAGGCGCGGGTGGGTTGTGGGCTGCATCAACCCCATAAAATCAGTCCAATGATTATGTAAAAAGCGACAAGCCTTAAGCCCAATGCCTCAAACCCAGAGCACACATCTAGAATTTCGCAGTTCCGGGTCTTCGTCCCTAGCTCTATCCAGCCTGCGTGCTTTATGGTTGTATCTGAGCCTTAGGTTTCTGAGTTGAGGGGGCCTGCTGATTGTTGCAAATACTCTATGCGGTACTTCAAAACAAATCTTGAACAATTCTCGGTAAGCAGTGCTCGACAAGAGTTGTCTAGATCTAGAAGGCAAAAGCGCCACACAGAAACAGCATAAAGCTGCTACCAGGAAGCTGCTGCCCTTGATTATGTTGTGTGCCAGACCTCAGCCTTCAGCCTGCTATCCGAATCGACACGAGCCTACTTTGTGAAGTCCTTGCCGTTGGAGGTCTTGGACCTTTCGCGAAACCAGCTCTCCTTCCTTCCGGATGGCAACTTGATGGGAGGGATACGATTCAGGAGTGGGATTTGATTTGGGGCACTGCCGGTGTTAAAGGTTTAATTAGAGTCTTGAAGAATGACGCCCCAAACGCAACCACACTCGCAACCAACCACATGAACATGCGATTCCAACTCAACCTGTTTGGCGATGAAGGCAGCAAGTCAAGTCCTGAGTCCCCCAGCTTGAGGAGACCATATGCCCAGCTCGTAAAACTGCATCGCACAGCTTTTCCGTCTTCACGCTAGCCTCTTATGCGTTTCTGGCGACGACGAGAGTTTGGGATCTGAGAGCTTGTCGCCGCCTAGGTGTTGGCAGTAAGCAGTCACACCCCGCTCCCTCTTCAAGCAAGGCAAAGCATGAAGAAGCTTCGGGATTTTATCCTGGTGCATTGATGCATTCAAGTCGAAACCTGTTCAAAGACCTCAACTGACGCCCACGGGCCTGGACTTTAGCGAAACAAAGCCAGTGCATTTGCTGAAAACCCTAGGCTAGTCAGTTTTGAAGCCTTTGAAGCTGCAGGCTTTCTCCACGGTGCCAAAGCCTTGCGCTACCTGGACTTGTCCTTCAATCGGCCACTGGCATGCAAGCACCGTATTGAAGCCACAACACGACAACATCAAGGCTGACACCCCTCCTTGAGTCTTTGAGTGCTTGCAACATTGCCAGCCTGCGACAAACTGTCGCCTGTTTTGGCTGCTGTCGTTAGTACCATTCGAGCAAGTAGGCCCCTAAGCGCCAAGCTCTTACGCCCAAGCTAGCAACCCAATCCTGTAAAGAATGCCTGCGCATAGTCCATGAGACTAAGTATCAGTGCAGCTTCTTTTCGGAGTGGAAGTCAGGGTAGAGGATTCATGGGCTGCGGATGTAGGATGTATAGTGCCTTGGGCTCGGGGTGCTGACTCTCGTTTCTTCGGCAGGTTATTTACTCTTCCCGACAGCATCCTCGACTGTAAGCAGCGCCGTGGCAGCAAACAAGCTCTACATCCGAGAGCGAAAGCCCCCCTCAATGCGAGCTCTAAGCACGGAAATGGTTCAGTGGGCTGAGGAGATCATGTCGCTCTCGCGTTGAGGTTTGCAGTTCGGGCTTCACTAAGGATCCCCGCAAGGATCCCTAACTCAGAACAGCCTCCTACCTGCAAAGTCCCTTGTTGAAGAACATGGCCAAAGCCTTTTGGTTGTGGAGCGGGCGGGCTCAGGTTGTTTGTGTTTGGAGCTCGGCGTGGCCCAGTAACTCAGGTTCTGATTTGGTCTTTTGCTCAAGCTGCCCAGGTTTTTCCCAGGTTGCAAAGACCATAAAGACAGGTGCGGCCCGGATTCAGCACCGGGCCGTGCTGTGGATCTCAAGTGTTAAAGCCCCAACGGCCTTAACCCCTAAAGCTGTGACCCCCCGAAATCACAAAACTCGGCCGTCTCGACCAGCTGATACTGGCGTCGCAAGTTCGGAATCCCTGTGGCACATTTGCGGGGCGCGGCCCAGGGTTGGACAGTTGGTTGCTAACTCAATGAGGGTGCCATCTTGTTCATGTATCCATGTCTGAAGGCTTTGACCAAGTCTGAATGATCGGGGCTTCGTTCAAGGCAACCGAATCCAGTGCAACGCGGCAACACTCTGAGAGCTGCGGGCAAAGATGGCTCAGGCTGTTGATTCTGCATGTGGACAACAACGAGCTCGAGAAGCTGCCGAACGACATCGGAGTCCCTCGGCCTTGAATGATCTCAGAAGTACTACAAGATCTCATGATTTCATACATCGTTGTAAGATCTCAGAATTACTACATAGTTGCAAAAACAGTCGCTGCAATCCTTCATTATAGAGTTCTTCTTATTCCAGTGCTTGTTTTACTACGATCAACGTTCCGGCGAGCACTAAGACCGTAGAACGCAAAACACCAAACCGCTTGACTCCCGAACCCTAGTGAGCAAACACTTCTGCTGAAACTGGTTAAGCCAGTTCAGCCTGCCAAATCCAATCTGCATAGTCGATCAGTCACACCATAAACCAGCACTCGTTGCCTCTTAGAAGTTGATGGGCTATGCTAGGCGCTTGCGCAGGGTTAAGGGCTGGAAAGTCCACGATTGGATTCGAGTCAAACAGAGACCTCAATACTCCCTTGTCATTGTCTGTAGAAGTACTACGCCGATTATACTGTACAGAAAGAAGAGTCGAGTCTGTGCAACGAAACCTCGCTTATGCAGGTGCCCTCCCTATATCGAACTTCACAGAACTTGGAACGGATGCTGGAAAGATATGTTGCTGTGGCACTTGGGTTCAGGGCCCACTGAGGGCCTACTGCCTCAACTCGGAGCCCTACACGGCTGAAGCTTTCCGGTCTCAGGGGCCTCTGAAAGTGCTACCGACATGGGCCGGGCAAAGTTCAGTGCCGAGGATTTGGGAATTTAGAGTTCAGGGTATGTGTTGTAGGATGTTTTGGTGTCTGGGGCATACAGTATAACAGATGAAACCCGGAACTCCAAGAGCCCGCTGCTTGTGCCGAACTTAGAGTCTTTAGAGGTTTGAGGGGCTTAGGAAATATCTACGTGCGAAGAGCTGCCTTACAAGACATCGAAATCGGAAGGAGTACTTGATGCGTCTGTCATTTTCGACGAGCATCTGAGGCGCTGAAGGGCCTTCGAAAGCTTTCAGCCTCGCTCTTTGGCGGCGCATGACGTAAAATGCTTAGCTGTGCTTGGGGTTACCATCAGTTCCATTCAGCGGAGCCCTAACTCTGAAGCCGCAAAACCAGCTTTGCAGCCCCAGACGAGGTTCAGGGCGATGTCGGCAAAAATGCAATTATGGAAGCACCGTGCTTTCCTAAGATGCCTGAATCAAGTCCCATCCCCACGAAATGGGGTAGGAGATTGAGGGTTTGTGGAAATTTGGTCAGGTGTGCATGTGTTTTGATGTGTTGCCCTGCCACCGTGTCACAACATGATCAAGCGATTCAGACCCGAAGACCCTGACCTCAAACCGCAAGAGGCAAAGCAAGGCAACGCTTTGGATTTAGGGTTGCGGTTTGCATATTAAACCCAAACGTCAAGTCCAAGTCCTGGTGAGGCTCCGGACCCTACATCATGAGAGCCGCGCAACATCTGTTGCAGCACCACCAGCAACATGAGGTGAGAACAGCAGCACCACTTCCGCGATGACCACGACATTACCTCCAACACCAACATACTAACAACAACAACAACAACAACAACAACAACAGCACCAACCCCAACACTGCCACCACCACTACGACCACCACCACCCCACCGCCACCACCCCCGCCGCCACCACCAACAACTAGAATACCGCAGCGGCCACAACATCAACAACACCACCAACAAAATAAACAACAACCCACCACAACCACCACCAACAGCAACACGAACAGCACGCTAACACTAACACTAACATAAGCCTAACTAAAAACACTAGCTCTAACAATAACAAGACTAACATCAACAATCACACTAACACTAACAACAACAACAACAAACAAACAAACAAACAAACAAACAAACAAACAAACAAACAAACAAACAAACAAACAAACAAACAAACAAACAAACAAACAAAAACAACAACAACAACAACAACAACAACAACAACAACAACAACAACAACAACATCAACAGCCACGGCAACCTTATCAACAACAACAGCCACAACAACAACGATAACAGCTACAACAACAACAACAACAACAACACCACCACCACCACCACCACCAACAACAACAACAACAACAACACCAACACCAACACCAACAGCGACGACAACAACAACGATAACAGCAACATTATCAGCAACAACAACAACAACGACAACCACAACAACAATAACAACACCAACAGCAACAGCGCAACAACAACAACAACACCAACACCAACACCAACACCAACACCAACACCGACGACAACAACACCAATATCAGCAACATTAACAACAACAGCAACAACAGCAGCACCAACACCAACACCAACAACAACAACAACAAAAACAACAACAACAACAACAACAACAACAACAACAACAACAACAACCACGACTACAACAATACCAACAGCAACAGCGCAACAACAACACCAACACCAACACCGACGACAACAACACCAATATCAGCAACCTTATCATCATCAACAACAACAACAACAGCAGCAACAGCAGCAACCACAACAGCAACAACAACAACAACAACGACAACAACGACAACAACGACAACAACCACGACAGTCACAACAACACCCGCCAACATCAACACCGACGACAATAACAACACCAACAATACAGCAACAATATCAACAACAACATCAACCACAGCAATCACGACAATAACAACGACAACAACAACAGCAGGAACACGACCACCACCTCCAACACCACCACCGCCAACAACAACAACACCAACCCCAACACCGAAACCGCCACCACCAACAACAAACGTCAAGAACAATAGCAGCAACAGCAACACCTACACCAAAAGTACCACCACCACCACCAACAACAACAAGAACAACAACAACAACTCCAAGATTAACAGCAACTGCACCAGCCACAGCAACATCAGCAACAACAACAACAACAACAGCAACAACAACAACAACAACAGCAACAACAACAACAACAACAACAACAACGCCAAGCAACAACAACACCAGCAGCAACAGCAACATCAACAACAACGACGACAACAACGACAACACCAACAACAGCAACAACATCAGCAGCTGCAGCTACAACAACAGCAACAGCAACAGCAACAGCGACAACAACAGTTACAGCAACAGCAACGGCAACAGCAGCCACAACGGCAGCCGCAACAGCAACAACAACCGCACCAACCGCACCAACCGCAGCAACAGCAACAGCACCAGCACC